AAGACAGTTTAATGAAGACCAGGATTGTACCGTTTTGCTGGTCATTTTTCTCATACGCACGTGCGGCTAGATAGGCCCTCGCGGCTATGACAGGGTGGGCATTTAGTTGGTCGGGGCTGCGGACACTGATCAACTAGTTGCACTCTCGTGAATTCGCAACTTGACGACCAGGACGACGCGTGATTAGAATGCGCAATCACAATGGAGACAGGTGGGCACCACATCTGCATTGGTGGTGGTGGTTTTACGACGGTAATATTTGTATTGGCGTTTCGGAGTGTGGAAGTTTGGTTTGTCTTCTTGACTTCACGCGGGATCTGAAGATGCACAACAGTTTTCTGCGTTAACTTTCCTGCCCATGCAATTGCTCTTGTCCGAGCTGCTTCTCGTCAGCTTATTTCGACTAAAAGAGATGTTAAAATTTATCGAAAATGCCACAACAGAGCTTGCCTGTGCATATGACCTTACACTGGTCCAGAATTCCAACATTCTTAATTCTCTTGCTGAGGTAATAACGGTTATTGTGTACTCATGTTATCCGATCCAGGTCGTAAAGGTACTTAGAAAGGCTTCGGTAGGGTCACCCGAATATTCTTCGCTGTTAGGAGTTCTTGAATGCTTGTTGAGTTTCCCACCCTAATTCAGTGCGAAATACATCACTGCAATTTTGCCACATCGACAGTTTATGCGAATTTCACAAAGCCTTGTTTTGTGGTCTGACCCATTCGAATTTACTTTCAACCTTTTAAAGGAGATCACTCTACCCTTCCGTATCATACCTCTGGTTCGGGAGATTGGCAAACAAAAGCTGGAGATCAAGGTTGTCGTTAAGGCCAACTTCAAGGCGAGCCTGCTTGCACAGAAGGTGGAGATCCGCATTCCAACACCCACAAATACCAGCGGTGTCCAGGTGGCTTGCCTCAAGGGTCGGGCCAAGTACAAGCCCACGGAAAATGCCATCGTCTGGAAGTAAGTTCTCCACGATCCCTCCTCAGTTGGTTGTTTCTTTTACTGTGCGGTCTATGCCACTTGGCTGCAGTCTGTAAGTGATTCCTTCCTTTTCCATATGCGGACTGCGCGCACACGCACGCGAACGCGCTCGCAGTAAACACGAAAACAAAAGCGCAGTTGCAAGGAGCCTGGCCATTTGCGTTTCCGGCTGCAACAAATCTGGACTGGACAGAGAGAAAGCAGTGTTCACGCATGCATCAGCAGAATTGCGGAATTAAGGATTAAAATCGATTCTTTTTTTTCGGTTGCATACCAATTCGTTTAAAGGGAGAGAGCGCCATCTCGAGGAGAACAGCGTTAAAGGATTAGGCGGCAGCCCGCAATTCTAAAACCAGCTAGCTCGGCTTTCTACAAACTAAAAATACCTACTATGAATTTACCGTGACATGTTCTTCAACGTGTAACTGACATTGTACAGGACTGCCGTCCTGACAGCAACTCTCCACGATGCGGAGACAAGGACTAAGCTAAGTGCAGAAACTCCGCCAACTTATGCCTAAACCGTCCCTCAAGGGTGCTAAGGTAAAGTGACGGGAACGGATGCCGGATATCGAGCACTCAAAATGAACTGAAGTGTTCAGCACCGTTGTCATGCTGAAATAGATTTAACTTTAGTGGGATGGCCACTTCGTGAGGATTATGAATGAGCCCTCGCGGACGTGATTTTCCTCTTGTGACGTCTGTTTCCAGTCATCGCTTGCCTCACTTTGCTGTCAACTATAATTGCACTCTTGGGCCTGTCCAATCGATGTGTCCAACTAGGCTACTCACTTGCAGTTTTTTCCTGCCCACCAACTCACACTTGAACTAAGACCACCCCACTATGCCACTTACTACCCAAACCACAAACAAATCCAGTGAGCACCACAGCCGTTTACGACTAACTAAATTTGTCTTGACCTACCCAAAACTGGCGCGCGTTAGATGGAGGCTTTTAAAATATGACGAAACTCTGAAAGTTACGGCTTGAAAGACTGCTAATTGAGGCGCAAGGTGGACCATACTACAATGACTCCTTAGTGTGACTTATCAGAATTTTCACTTTCATGGACTCAGAGGTTTCGAAGTATGATTTTTTGCGTTTGATATCACTAAGTATGTTTTACGCGTACGCTTGAGTTCGGCCTTGTCAACCACTAAGCCACACCAATCCCAAATCGGATCCAGTTGGTTTTTGCTATTAGAAAACTTTAGGCATGCGACACATTGTCATATTCCTCACCAATAATGATGCATAAACTGCCTTCGCATGTTTACCTCTACCTTCATCCAATCCAACTGAATACTACGAATGTATTATCATTGTCTTAAGCGGCCTTCTCGCTCATTTTATAAGAAAACGAGAAAATAAGATGGTTCGTCATTCCAATCCCCTTTCATGCTTTTAATTTATTTGGCCTGTTTGCCTAACAATACTCATTTCAGGTTGCCTAGAATTGCTGGCATGAAGGAGTCACAATTGTCTGCTGAAATTGAGCTTCTGCAGTCATCAGACAAGCCCCAGCGTGTTGGACGCTCTCCAATTTCCATGAACTTTGAGGTGTGTGTGGCAGTTTGA